ATGTATTTTGAATGAACTTATTTTGGTAACGAGGGAATAAAATAGTGTGAGATTTTGGGAAAACACCAGTGGTATGGGGGAGCAGTCATGAGTGCATGATTCCACCCACCAGAATTAAAATTATAATTCCCACGAATTAATATTAGGCACATGTAGGTGGGTTTCCATCTCTTTTAGAGCATGTATTAAATAATGCATTTGCATGGATGTGTGTATGATGTTACTTGTGCAGTGGTGTATGTGCATATGTGTTTCCCGTCTAATCGCAAAAGAAAAAAGTAGTACTCCCCTATCTCAGAATAAGTTCATTTTTCACTCATTCCGCACATACCAATAAAAAACAAAAAGACTAGAATGTCCATAATCTATCAAATCCAATGCAACTATCCATAACTTTATCTACAGCCAATACAATCAAATTCCTATTTTTAAAATCGAATGCAATGGTTAATCTAAAATAAAATTATTATGAGATAAAATAAATGAGCTAAAAATAAACTTAATATAAAGGAAGTATAAGTATAATATTATTGTTAGGATTATACGATGGGCATTGGGCCAATGGGAGCGCTTCTGTAAAGAGAGATCGGATAAGCTTTGGAGGAGAGGGAGCAGGTGGGTCCGGGTTGGCAGTGGGGAGTCCGACCGAGCGACAGAGAGATGCACACTGATATGCCCCACGCGTCGTCACGAGCGCTCCCTACTCCCTCTCTGTCACGCCGCGCACAGTTTTTGTGTCTCTGTGGTCCGCTCCTCATCCTCCTCCTCCCCTCTCCCTCCGATCCAAGCACGAATCTCAAATGTTCTATTGAGATCAAATCAAATCAAATCAAGCTGAATTCAAAACAAACCGTGATATATGGAGTATACATTGTCTTTTTTAGCTGGACTAGCTAGGCTAAGCTAACAAAAGATGGAGGTGCAGTCTTTGGGCCTCATTATTTGGCTTTTTTCGTAATAAGTCAAAACGGCTTATTAGAGAATAAAAATAAATTTGTAGGTAAAACTTTAATATATGTGTTCTCGGTGACTTAAAAGTCAATGCTGAAAAAGAAATTACGTTGAAAATATCTCAAAATCAATGTCAAAATTAAATTTGAAAATTTAAATTTTGGCCTTTTCTTTGACTGAATAGGCCATCCGATGGGAGCCTCTCGCTTTGCACAAAGCTTGGAGTGTTTTTGGTAGGCCCATATATACTGCACTCCCTTCGTCCCAAAAAAAAAAGGCAAACCCTGGGTTTCCGTGCCAACGTTTGACTGTCCGTCTTATATGAAATTTTTTATAATTAGTATTTTCATTGTTGTTAGATGATAAAACATGATTAATACTTTATGCGTGACTTATCTTTTTAATATTTTTTCATAATTTTTTTAAATAAGACAGACGGTCAAACGTTAGACACGAAAACCAGGGTTTGTTTTTTTTTGGACGGAGAGAGTATGCCATTAGCTTTGGTAGCTCATCTAAAGGAGGAGGTCAAATATCTACATGCATGGTACCCTATAGTAGTAGGATCTACAGAAAGAATTCCAAATGATAAGTAGAGTACTGTGCAGCCTGTGCAAGCTAGAATGCTATTAGTGTTTTCTCTAAAAAAATGCTATTGGTAGATCATATGGCTAGGATTCAATTCGATTATGCGGTCCAATTTATAACAGCGCCCATAGCTACGAGCTGCTATGCTCATTAGTATTTGTTCTAATCATATCACAATCTCTATACTCTAATTACCTTATGAAAAGAGGCCCAATCTAGCTATATAGTATATGCAAGTACTTAATAATACAAGTGTGTTAGCTAGCTAGAATGCTAGTAGATCATGTAGGATTCAATTCGATTTTTCTACCCGGTTAATAACAGCCTACGAGCTGCATGATAGGTTTATTGTTTGTAGTGATCGTTAATTCGTTACCGCAATCTCTACCCAATTAGTAATAGCTTCTATAAAACCCAAAAAGCTTTGTTCTTTCATTCAAAAGAGTTGTTGATATGAAGCACACGTGGAACGAAAAGGTCAGAAAGCTTTGGCAAAGTGAAAGACGTGCACAAGGAAATTTCTGACAGCCTCTCATCATCTGGTCTATGGTTGATGAGCCGTGGAAAACTTCATGAAGTAATTAAAAGTAATTTATTGATAGCAATAAAGCTAAGTCTGAAAAATAAACTATAATAGAAACCTCAATATCAACTTAAAATTAAGTATAAAATTTAAAAATTTTCCGCGGCTCAAACGCCAATAAAAAAAAAGAAAAAACATCAACCTTTTTTATTCTTGTTGAAAAGTACTGAGATGTTTCCTCGCAAAAAAGGGAAAAACGGAGTGATCTCTCCTATTTGCAGATAATAAACATTTCAAATCAAAAAAGAAAAGTAATTAATCTTCTAGCTGGTGTTATGTTACATTTCGCTAAAAGAACAGAGGGGATGCTCGGCTGCGGCTGCAGCAACAGCAAGCAGCAAAACCTGCTTCCATGCACCACAATCACAGTCGAGGACTGGCCAAATGAAGTCTTGCTTTATACCTCTCGGTACAGAACTTGGAGAATCACAAGCAGGTGGGGCTAATTTGAATGATTGCTAAATAATGAAGGAATGGTCCATGTACGGTTATAAAAATTTTAAATTCAAAACTAATCTCAGTGTTCTCTACTTTGATAAAAATTCAACAACTCATGGTGCAAGGTTAATACTCCTGCCGTACCATATCACGTACCATCATCTTAGGCTGAGTTCTACTCTCTCCATCTAAAAAAAAGAAGGCAAGATAGGTGATGATTTGATACCACTCAGGATAATAAATATGGATAAGAGGTTGTACAAATTTATTGTCCTAGGTAGTGTTAAATTCTCATCTAGATTATTCTTTTTTTTTCTTTTTGGGACGGAGAGAGTAAGTAGCTATTTGGAATAGCTAATTCCTCATTATCCATGAACACGTTTCTCCAACTACTAAATATGTGTTTTGTGTAAAAAATTTTTATGTAGAAGTTAATCAAGAAAATCATATTAATCCAGGAGGAGTGAACGGTAGGACAAACCAAACCGTGGAATAAAGAATAATCATTAATTTTGGTACTGATCCAAATTTCCCATTACCGACATTTCATTTCCTTTTTCCAGCTTAGTACTCAAAGCTTGTTCTTTGGTTCAAAATAGTTTTTGATATAAAGCACACGTGACACAAAAAAGGTCAGAAAGCTTTGGCAAAGAGAGACAACAGGAAATTTCTGAAAAGGTTCGGCCTTTTGTAATTCTTGTTCAAACATACTGTACTAAGACCCTCCCCCTCCCCCAAATAAAAACTCCTATTTGCACATAATAAACATAATTCCAGACCAAAACTGTGGAAATTTAATTATCTATGTTCGATTTTGCTATTCAAAACTAGCCTTAAATGTAATTCCAGACCAAAACAAAACCTGCAACCCCATTGTTTCCCTTATATTATACTACTTATCAGTGTGGCTTATTACTTATTAGCTACCAAATATAATTTATAGGTAAAAGTTTTATATACATATGTCCTTAGTGATTTGAAAGCAAATGTTTGAAGATAAACTACAATGAAAAAGTCACCAAATTAACTTCAAAATTAAGGTTAAAATTTAAATTTTTGCTTGTATGTATAAGTACAAGCGAAACTAATAGGCTATTGGTTCTTGCTAGAGAATTGAAAGAATCACAAGCAGATAGAGCTATTTAAATGGTTGCTAAATAATGAAAGGAATGGTCCATGTGGGAATAAAATTTTAAATTCAAAACTAATCTGAGTGTTCTCAATTAGAGAAAATTCAAAGGTTTAAGGGCATGTTCGGCTGGTATTTTTTGCAGCTGCACGATAGCTAGCAGCAGCAAAACTGCAACCGCACAACACAAGCGCTGCAGCAGCAGCGCTGCCGCGGGAACGACAGCCAAACATGCCCTAGATGTATCTGCCAAATGGTGTGACTTAGAGGCAGATATAGGAGTAGGGTTGTGCAATCCCACTCCCGACCTGAAATATCTATTAAAATTGTACTTTAAAATTCTAAAAATTAGAACATGAAGATAAAATTATATAAATAATACTAATTTAGCACTAGGCTTAGGAATAAGATTCTGGTTCCATCACAGGCGTGACTCTAATATACTCATATCACCGTCTTACTTGTTGTGTATATAATTATCGCCCCCGCTGCCCCTGCCCAAGGGCAAAACAATCTTGTTACCACGTTATATGCAAACTTGTCTTGGTCTCCTTCAAACCATTACCTCAAACTCCCTCAATCCATGAAAAAATCTCGATGAGTTGTGCTATGACCGTCCCTAATAACTTCATAAGTTGTAGAACATTAAATAAACTGAGTAGATGTGGTCTCTACTAATGTTACTTAGATTCTACTGTTATTACCAGCAGAAAAATATTGATTTATGAGTTATACTATCAATAGAAAAATATTCTATTATCAGTAATTGAGATAGTGGTACATATACATTACAATATATATTAGAAGAAAAAGACGGTCTAGATTTAATTTTTACTACTTATGAATAAAGCCCATTATAGAACACTTCGAATAAACCAGGTTATATAAAACCCATGTATCCATTCTTGTCTCGATTATTGCATTTTCCTATAGAGCACATTTATCATATACACTGATTAGTTTCTCCCTCAGTTTTGTCGAAATCATATAACTAATATACTCCTATATTTTTTTCCACAACAAAGTGATTAGTAGTAGTACTACATATCCTAGATTTGGATGTCAAGAAAGCCTGGAAGCTAACCAAAACAAGCACACAAAATCATTCATAATTGGTCCCACTTCCCATGCTACTGTCCCAGTGTCGGAGAACAGGATCATGACTTCATGAATCCGAGACTAATCTAAATTGTGCTTTTTATTCAACAAATTTACCCGGAGCTTTAGTTTTTCTTTAATAGTTTCACATAATTCAAGTATTTGTAATATCTTAATTTTAAAAAATGATAAAACATTTAAGAACCATCCAAATAACAAGACAACAGCTAGGTTTCATTTTGGGACAGAGAGAATAGCTAGCAAGAATTTACATCCAAGTGTAGTATGAATCAAATTTTCCTCATACACACTAGTTTGGCACCCATTAACACACACAAAAAAAGAGGATGAAAAACAGTTCAGAAAAGAACAGAAACCCACATGATTGATCACAAATTAAAAGCAAAAAAAAAAGAAACAAAAATGAAAAATAAAAACGAGAGAGCTCCCAAGAACACATTAAAACGCATTCTTATTTCTAATTACCAACTCAAAAAGCTCTCCTCGTCGTCTCACTCATTCATTCCCATGGATTGCTCGGATGACGTTATCACCACCTCCTCTGCAAGAACGCGTGGCGGTCGTTCTCGCCGGACTCCGACGAGCGGTCGAGGCGGCCGACGACGGCCGTCTTGAAGTTGAACGCCTCCTGCACCCGGTTGCACGAGCGCTGCATGCCCACGCCGCTCAAGCTCGCCCTGGACTCCACCACCACCACCTCGCTCAGCGGCACCCGCTTCCGGCCGCCGCCGGCGCCGGCGCCGCCGGTCTCCGGCCGCTGCTTCGGCGCGCTCTGCGAACGCACCTTCGCCTCGAACGACTGCGTGTTGGACATGTAGTTCGGGCAGTTGAGCGGCGACGAGTGGATGCCGCCGCCGCCGCCGCCGCCGCACACGCTCTTGGTCGGCGTCGGCGGCGCGTGCGCGTACCGCGGCGTGCTCTGCGCCGTCGCCGGCCGGGCCTTCTCCAGCGCGCACCAGTCGTAGTCGGGGAAGTGGCGCGACGTCGGGACGGCGATGCGGGGCGGCGGCGCGCCGCCGGGGAGGTAGCACGGGAGCGGCGACGACATGGAGTTGGCGCACCAGTCCTCGCCGCCGCTCGCGCACCCAGCGGCGTCGAGCAGCAGCGGGGAGCTCGCCCGCCGCGACGACGACGACCGCGACTTGGGCCTCCCGGTGTCCACCTCCACGATCTTGGGGCTCCGGTCGTACCCGTACGACGACGACTCGATGCTCGCCGACAGCCGCCGGCTGTACGCCGCCACACCGTGCTCGCTCCTCGTGTCGTCGCCGGCGCACCTCTCCTGCTGCATCCATCGCCAACACACAACGTCAACATCGAACATATACATGGCGATGTCGTCGGCGAGATTTAGCCAGCGGCGTACCAGCGAGCGGCGGGGCCAGAAGGGAGCGTGGTGGAGGTGCGGGAGATTGGCGGCGGCGCCGGCGCCACTGCGGTGGGCGCGGACAGTGGCCTGGGCGCGGACGAGCGCCTGCATGCTCTGCAGCGTGGCGGCGGCCTGCCGGCGAACGAGGTAGCCGCGCACCAGCGCCTGCAGCTTCACCAGCGCCTTGAGCGCTCGCAGCGCCTTCTTCGCCTGCACGAACACACGCCATGATTAACGACAATGGCGACGACGACGACGACGAAACCAGAGCAAGAAGACGAGCACCCGTTGCTTACCAGGAAGCCTCTGAATGCCGTCTGGATTCTGACGGCGGCGGCGGCAAGGCTGCGCGTGTCGCCGGCGACGGTGGCGGCGAGGACGGGAGCCGAGCGGCCCTTGCTAGTAAGCCGCACGACGGCGACGGCGGCCTGAGCGGCCGCCACGGCGGCATCAGCCGCCGCCGCGGTGGCCGCGGCGACGGCGATGGCGTGCTTGCTCTGCTCCCGCTCCGTGTCGGCGTACACCGACCTGAGCCACGCCGCCTCGGCCGCCCTGGCGATCGCCGCATTGCCCCCGGAAGCCTCCGCCGCCGCCGCAGCAGCAGCCGCCGCGGCCTCCGCCGAGTCCCTCGACGACTTCCCGAAGCTCCACCTCTTCCCCCCACTCGCCGGCGCCTCGCCCTTCTGCTCCTTCCTCCCTCCTCCCCACATGTTGCGGAACCACCGCGCCGCCTTGCCCATCTCGCCGCTGTCGAGCGGTGGCGCGGCGCGCTCCGGGGTAGCTAGCGGGTGAGGAGTCCGAGTGAGTGAGAGTGAGTGAGAATCGAGACAGGTTTTGAATAAGAGAGGGAAACCGCAGGGGGGAGGGGGAGGCGCGTGGGTGGCGTCGCGTTCGAAATAAAAGAAGAGGAGAGGAGGCCACCACCACCAATGCGGCAGCCATTACCGGACAAACAAAACAAAACCACCTCTCTCTTTCTCTCTCTTCGCTTCCTCCGTCCCAATCCCAGGCTACTGATAGAAAGCAATATGAACAGTTTATCTTTTTTATCTAGTGGTTTAGATCTATTTATATTACCATTTCAGTTAGTGGTTATAGAAATTTTGAGGGAGCATTATTGTAAAAAAAATAGGTGTAAGGTATAATCGTCATTTATTAGTGACTAAATCTTCTTTCTCTTTTATTTTTCTTTTCGATAAAATATGAGTGATGCCAATAAAATGGATGACCATAAATTGATTTAGACAAAAAAAACATAAATAATAAAGTATTCCGTAATCATTATATTAGTAAATTTATAATTTACCCTTAATAACGAACAATTCAGACCATTCCTACTGTACTACCGGTAGAGAGTACCAGAGAATATAACATCCTAGTACTATATGAGATATTACCTGGTACAATATATCTAGATATAATGTATGTCTAGATATATAGTACAGTACCACGTAAGGTTCAATCCACTACTTAAGTTAAGTTGTCATATTCAAGAACAGACGGAGTAATTAATTAGGCATAAATAGTGGATTAGGATTGGACGCAGCGATAAAAAAGGGACAGTGTAAGCCCAAAAAGACGCAAACTCGAAAGATTTCGGGCAACAAATATTGAGAGTTGCACACTCACGCACACCAAAAAAAAGCTTCTCTTTTTCTCGCTCACAACGCATTTTTGGGAGGAAGTAGAAGAAGAAGACCAAAAAGAACAACAGAGGCTGTACTCCTACTCCGACGCATGCACGCGTCATCGATCACATCGGAATTACCACACGGGGAGAGAGAGATGATCCATCAGAGATGAGCTGGAAAACGAAAAAGAAAAAGAAGAAGAGGAGAAAAAAAAAAGATTGCAACTTTTGAGAGAGCGAGAGAATGGAATGGATGAATGCTTTCTCGATCGATCGGCCATTCGGCCCCCCTCCATGAGCACTTCCACAGTAGAAGTAGTAGCACCTAGCCTTTCGCTTATGCATATGTTTATTCATACTGCTTATTAGCAAATCAAAGAGATTTTTTACTGTCCAGCAGAATTTTTGGTACCACGCGGTACTGCAATCGTAACCGTCCATTCAGCCAGATCAAACGACCCACAATCATCGGTACCGCGAGGTACAGGAATCCGGTGCAGGGTACCTCCCCCTTTGTTCGCGTGTATGGAACTAGTGGAAGGGCAGAATTGGATTTTTACGTGGTTAGTCAATTTTCATAGAGACGGTACAAGTCCCTGACCCGGTAATCTGTCTCTTCCCGATCCCCTTCCGTCGTCCCTGGCGGCGGCACAGCCAATCTCGCCGGACTTCGCTTCCTCCCTCACTGCAACCAACCGTCGCCAACCTGCCCATTCCCAACTTGCCCTTCCCGTAGCCGGTCCAGGTCCGGCCGCCGCCGATTTCTGGGAGTCGATCTACCCCTGGATGATGATGACCTCAATGCACCAACAAGAAGAGGTGACCATGGCGACTAGCTCAGCGCGGCGAATATGGCCTCGACAGCTCGTCTACCGACGCCATCGCAAGCCTTTGTTCAGGGAATCGCATCGCTGTGGTATGCATTGGATCGCGAGCATTAGCAAACCTAGAAGGAGGGGACAGAAAGAAGAAAAAACGAAGCTAGATATTGAGATGGCTGAAAGGCTTTTGGCCATGGATCGCACAAGCAAGAAGAAATTGGGCAAGCAAAGAAAAGAGATCGAAGAATTTCAGAAGTTTATTTATGGGATCACTAGTTGTAATAGTGTCCCTTTTATTCAAGATAGTTGACAATTTGCTCAATGACCGCCGATGTTAATTTTGTTTAAGATGAAACAGTAAGCTTAAGGTCTACAACGAAAGAACAGTTTACACATCAGAGCAAGAAACTACAAACTTTCAGAACATCTACTTTTTTACTACTATTACATTCATACTTTCAGCAAAATCAAGTAGGTTCATTACATATATCAAAAGACAAGGAACTAGGTCCAGAACTTGGCACACAACATAAATCAAACTCAGCCTCTCCCATCAACATAGCAGATTCTTCCAATGAATATAGCAGCAAAGCAATGTCCAGCAGGAAAGAAATACTTCATCTCTCTCATACATCTTCCGTAAAGAAACTCAGGGTGTTGTGATCCTGTGCCGGAGACTGCGTAGGTGCCACCAGCCGAGATGCATAGAGGATGGAGGGGAGGGGACAAGTTGTGACCGTGGACGAAGGACGAGCTGCCGTACCGCACAGGGGCAGCCGAGAGGCGAGCCGCCACACCACCGCATCAGAGGCCGGAAGAGGACGGCACTTGGACACCGCGTCGGAGTAGGGCGAAAGGATTGCGGCGGTGACACGGCGTAGACTTCAGATGCGGATGCAGCGCATGGGCAGGAGACTGAGTCCTCGCGAGATTAAGTTCAATCCCGATCGTGCCCCGCTCTAATTCAATGGTCAAATTAAGTTTCGTACCAGGGGTACCGGTACCTGGGGGTACCGTTTGCTGGACGGGAGCAGTGCTCTCAAAACTAACCTATAAATATAACTTTTATTTATATGTTATTAAACTACTGAAAAGCAAATAATGGTGTGAAATAAACTATGATAAAAAAAATCTTAAAATTAACTTCAAAACTAAATTTTAAAATTTAAATTTTAACTTATAAGTATAAGCACAAGCGAAACAATAGAAGTTGGCGATCGAGATGAGGCGGGGCAGCAACATATGAAGATGGAGATGCTGACATTGAACGGGCACAGTATGCAACCGTCCAAACAGTACATCCAAAAAACCGCATATGCATCAGCATCACGCATCTTTCGTGAGAGAGAGAGAGAGAGAGACGAAGCTGCAGTAGTTACAATTACCTCAGTTAACAGTTTATCACCACGGGATTCGATCGATGGAGAAGGTCAAAGAAGCAGCAGTGTAGCTCAGCTCACCTCAGCGCAAGCTCAAGCTGGAGATCATCAGTGACGAGATGTGAGATCATGCATCACACTGATGACTCATCCATACATATATACAGCATCTTGACTCGTGGCCACTGTTGCTAACGATCTCGTCGTCACCACAATTCACCAATTCTAGCTAGCTAGCTAATCACTCTGCATCGATAGATCGATCTAGCTAGCTAGCCATCCATGGCAGAGAGAGAGAGAGAGGCAGGCTGGTTAGTGATTGGAACAGGCAAAAGCTGTACTGTAGCAGTAGTACGATCTGATGTCGCAGGGACGACGTCGTCACCGATCGAGCGATATTGATGAATCGATCGTACTCCTCCTTAGCTAAAGCATAGGGTATGCATCAAATGCAGCTGGTACATGATCCAGCCTACAGGTTTCTGCTAGCAGATATGGCTAAGCCCCGGCCTTGCAATTTTTTCAGCTCTTGGGGTATAGTACCTGCGAAAGGTGACCCCCCAAAAGCCGTTTAAATACACACACATTCATGTGTGTGGGGAGGGGAAGAACAGGGCCACGTTATACACGAAAGATGCACTCGCACACATGTATCCAAAGTACAACCTCATCGGTTGACCGAGAGCTGATTTATATACCAAACAGCTTATTCGTGAAAAATAATTTATGAGTGACCTTTCATATGAGTCTATGGAGTTAAGTCTAAGATCTGAGCGGTAACTTTCTCATTTTCTGTTAGTACGTTTTCTAAACTGTTAAACTATGTTTATTTTTTTAAAAAAAACTTTTCTACATATAATTAGTTTCTTTCAAAAAAACCAAAATTTTGAGTTTATGATAGTTATAAACCATGTGCTCATAAGCTTTCTCGTTTTGCGTACAACTAAGCATGTGTTTTGTTTGGGGACTATGTGGGATAGGATGAAACCATCCCTGATTTTAGGGATTGGGTGATCTCACATACTTGTTTGGTTTATAAAATGAGATGATGCTAGTTTTTTGTTTGGTAGAATGGATAGGGGTGGGGATGGGATGAATGACGTTTGGAGATGTTAGCACCACGTCTACTCCTAGTGAGGAAGGAGCAGCGAACGGCGGGCGGTGGAAGCAGGAGCGGCAAACAACCGGCGACCGGCGGTGTGGATGGAAGGAGCGGCGTGCAAGCGAGCAGGCACAGGCGTGAGCGGCGAACGGCAGAATGAGGAGCGGCGCGGGCGAGCGAGCGTGTGTAGGGAAGGAGCTGCATGAGCGGGCGGAGGAGGACTAACGGGCGCTGGGGGAGGGAGCGGCGCCGGGGGAGGGAGCAAGCGGAGGAGGACGGAGTGGTGCCGGGGGAGGGAGTAGGCAGAAGGAGGAGCGGTGCCGGGGAGGGAGTAGGCAGAAGGAGGAGCGGCGCGAAATTAATTAAACTTGACAGCAGTACTGTTCATGTAGTAACTGCATGGGAATTTAAACTTGCAGGTGTGTGGACGGATGGATAGATGGATGGGATTTGGACGGTGTGCGTGAAGAGAACAGTAATTAAGCAGAGAGCGGCAATCATGAAGATTCGAAGGACATGGAAGAACAACATCGATGCGTCTACCTCTGACGACGCTGCAGCTTGCTTGCTTGCCTCCAACGACCGACGCATGCAAAAATATGGAAACCAAGTACTGCATGGAGTAGTAGCAATTACCGATGGTTATCGCTGTAATTAGTCCATACTAAGTTCGGTCTTTAGTGCTATAGCTAGGAGTACACAGCTTTAAAATATAAACAGAGTGAAGATATACTAACTCGATAATGGCAATCAAATATATATCGCATATTTATTTTATAATAACTTAGAAAATATAGTACTACAACCAATCAACTAAAGGAAAAAAAATCTAAGATGGTGCCTTTCATTTAAAAATGAAGCAATACTCCATAACATTCACCATACACCAAAATAACAGGCAGAACGGCGGTATAACATCGGCGTTGGTTGCAAGACGAACCATCCAACTCCAACAGTGATGCCAATCGGAGTTGAAAGACGTTGATCGTTCCATGTACGTGAGACGTACTACCTCCGTCCCAAAATAAATCAACTTCTGTAATTTAAACTTTG